TCAATTTGAAGCTGGCCTCTCCACTGCTCGCGCAACCATCCCACCCTCCCGCAACTGATTACCCTGCACCGCGCCTGACCACCTCCACTGCTCGCGCAAACATTCCACCCACTAACCCACACTTTGGTTTGCAAAATCTCTTAAGACCGTGACGGTGGGTACCAAATGGCACTTGGCAGCGACAGCGACGCCGACGACGACAACGACAATGACGACGACGACGCCGCCGACAACGACTACGACGACACCGACGACGTCTCCAACGACTTCGACGACGCCGACAACGACGACGACGACGACGACGACGACACCGACGACGACGACGACGCCGACGATGACGACGCCGACGACGACGACACCGACGACACCGACGACGACGACGACGTCAACGACGCCGACGACGACGACGACGACCACGACGGCGGCGACGACGACGACGCCGACGTCGACGACGACAAAGACGACGACGAAGACGACGACGCCGACGACGAAGACGACGACGACGACGCCAACGAAGACGACGACGTCTCCAACGACTTCGACGACGCCGACAACGACGACGACGACGACGACGACACCGACGACGACGACGACGCCGACGACGACGACGATGACAACGACGACGACGATGACGACGCCGACGACACCGACGACACCGACGACGACGACGACGTCAACGACGCCGACGACGACGACGACGCCGACGACGACGACGACGACGCCGACTAAGACGACGACAAAGACGACGACGAAGACGACGACGCCGACGACGAAGACGACGACGACGCCAACGAAGACGACGACGCGGGAGGAGGGAGGACGACGACGGCGACAATGACGACGACGACAACGACGAGGGAGGAGGGAGGACAACGACGACGCGAACGACGAAGACGGAGGAAGGACGGCGACGCTGACGAAGACGACGACGAGGGAGGAGGGAAGACGACGACGACAACGACGACGACGACGGCGACGAAATAGGAGCGACGACGACGAGACGCTGACGACGGACGACGACGACGACGAGGGAGGAGGAGGAAGGACGACCACGGCGACAACGACGACAGAAACGACCACGACGCCAAAGAGGACGACGACGACGAACACGAGGAAAGACAGAGGACGACGTAGGCGACGACGACGACGACGACGCGGGAGGAGGGAAGACGGCGACGACGACGACGACGACGCAAAAACGCGCGCGCACGCTTTTGTTGAAAAACCGTGTTGCACAACCTTGTGTTTTTGTATGTTTTTTGGACACACGATTTTGAAATCCTTCCGAAACCTACGGGTTTTGAAGGATTTTGGCATACGCGCGCGACGACGCGCGCGTCTGCACTTCGTCCCATTTTTTGCAAAGGATTCTCGCGACGGCACACGCGCAAGGGCGTTCGACAGATTTCGACTTGCGCGTGCGCGAAGCCCGTTTGGTAGCATTTTATGAAAAATCTTGGAAAACCTATGGTTTTCTCAATATTTCGCAAGAGCTCGCGCGTAAGCTTGTCTAGCACATCAGTGTTGCGAAACCCGGTGTTTTTGTATGATTCTTGGAAGCTCGATTGCGAAATCCTTCCGACACAGAAGGTTTTTGAAGGATTTCGGCATGCGCGCGCGACGACGCGCGCGTGTGCACTTCGTCCCATTTGCTGCAAGGGATTCGTGCACAAAATCTTATGTTAGAACAAAAAATGTCCCCGCGTATAGTTTTTTTACCCAGGAACCTCAGGGGGACCGATCCCGGCCCCCCTGGGATAGTCGAAACTCATATTTAGGATGGACATGTGGTCATAATCGTGCATGATTTACATACTCGAAAGGGGGGCCGATAACGCGGGGGGGGGGGTAGAGCCTATTCTCTTCTTAGAAAAGAGAATACACCTGTAGGCAACTGCTGCTGACCACCCCACTGCTCGTGCAAACATCCCACTCTCCCACCCGCAACTTGGCCACAAGACCTTTTTTAAGACCGTGACGGTGGGTACCAAATTGCACTTGGCAGCGACACCGACGCCGACGACGACAACGACAACGACGACAACGACGCCGCCGACAACGACTACAACGACAACGACGACGTCTCCAACGACTTCGACGACCACGACAACAACGACGACGACGACACCGACGACAACGACGGCGACACCGACTAAGACGACAACGACGGCGACGACGCCGACGACGACGACGACGACGCCAACGACGACGAAGACGGCGACGACGACGACGTCGCCAACGAAGACGACGACGACGACGACGACGAGGGAGGAGGGAGGACGACGACGGCGGCAACGACGACAACAACGAGGGAGGAGGGAGGACGGCGACGACGCGAACGACGAAGACGGAGGAAGGACGGCGACGCCGACGACGACAACGACGAGGGAGGAGGGAAGACGAGGACGACGACGACGGCGGCGACGAAATAGGAGGGACAACGACGAAACGCCGACGAAGACGACGAGGAAAGAAGGACGACCACGGCGACAACGACGACGCACAACGACGACGACGCCAAAACGAAGACGACGACGAGGAACAACAGAGGACGACGACGGCGACAACGACGACGAGGACGACGGAGGGAGGACGGCGACGACGACGACGACACAAGAGCGCGCGCGCAAGCTTTTGTTGAAAATCCGTGTTGCGAAACCCTGTGTTCGTATGCTTTTTGGAAACACGATTTTGAAACCCTTACGAAACCAAAGATTTTTGAAGGATCTCGGCATGCGCGCGCGACTACGCGCGCGTGCGCGCTTCGTCCCATTGTTGCAGAGGGCTCTCGCGACGGAGCGCGCGCAAGGGCTTTCGAATGATTTCGACATGCGCGCGCGAAGCCCGTCTGGTAGTATTTCGTGGATAGGTTGAACAACATATGGCTGTCTTAAGATTTCGCAAGAGCGCTCGCGTAAGTGTTTTTCGCATTTTGAAAACCCTCCGGCATCGAAGTTTCTCGACGACGCGCGCGTGTGCATTTCGACCCGTTGTTTTGCAAAAAGGATTCTCTGAGACTTCTCATTCTGGATGAACGAGTGTGCGCGCATAGTTTTTTGCAGAGGATGGCGGGGGGGGGTGATACTGGCCTGGCTGGGGTAGTACGAATTCATACTCAGGGTGGACGGTGGGGCAGAACCATACGTAAATTGCAATACGGAAAGGTGAATCGTTAACTCTGGGGGGGGGGTCGAACCTATTCTTCTTTTAGAAAGGAGAATATATGCGGTGCACTTTTTGTGGTACGATCTACATGGTGCGATTTGCCGAACTTGAAATTGTCGGCCCCACTGTTCGCGCAATCGTCCCGCCACCCGCAACTCGGTTTGCAAAACCGATGCGGACATGATTGCGATGAGTGCATGGTGTTGGCTGGTGCATCTCTGCGGCCGCTCTGACTCGCGCACGCTCGCGCGCGCAGCGGCCAGCTAGGTTGGCGCGACCGACGCGAACGCGGTGGCGCTGTCCGCTCGGCACATCCCAGCGTGCACTTCACTGCCAGTCGGCGACACGGGCGAGCGCGGTATCTTGGCAACGTCGACGTCGGTATCCACGAGGATTATAGTAGCGATGCTCGTGGCGATGCTGACAGTGACGGCGGGGCAGCTAGTGACGGCGCCGATGCTGATAACGCCGACAACTATAACGATGTCTTCGCGTCGGTGATGAAGTTTTTGGAATGAATTCGACATGCGCGCGCGGCAAACGCGCGAGTGGCCCTTCATGGTATGATTTGACGCGGACCGTGCCACCCCAGCGCGCGCGCAAGGGCGTTCGAACGATTTCGGCATGCGCGCGCGAAACCTGTTTGGTAGAACGTGATGGACACATTGAAACAACGATGGTCTTCTCAAGAATTCGCATGAGCGCACAAGTTATCTTTGAACACCCGTGCTGCGAAACTAGATGTTTTTGTTTATGTGTGTTTGGGACGCTCCATATTATAATGCTTACGGAACGAAGGTTTCTGAAAGATCTCGGCATGCTCGCGCGACGACGTGCGCGTGTGCACTTCGTCCCATCTGTTGCAAGGATTATTGAAGTTTATAGGCTTTGATAAACGACGACCGCGCGCACACGATTGTTTGCAGAGGCTGGCGAGGGGCGGCGATACCGGCTGGGCTGGGATGATACGAACTGACATTTCGGATGCGCGATGGGGCAGAACCGTATGTATGTACATTGCAATACGAAAAGGGGTGCTAATAACCCGGGGGGGTGAGTCTTTTCGCTCTTTCGGAAGGAGAATAAATGATGTGAGACCTCCGTGTTGCAATATATGCGGTGTGCTCTATGTCGTGCAAGGTGTCTATTGCGCAATATGTTGTGCAACCGGTGCGGTGCAAACTAAAGGCGGCGACCAGCGGCGACGGCGGTGACGGGGCGGCGACGGCGACAACATAGCCACTCGGCCGACAGACAGGCCCAGACGACGGACGGCGACGAGGCAGCGACGGTGCGGCGACGGCGGCCACATAGCCGCAAGAGAGGCACCCCAGCCCAATTCTTTCGAGAACAGCTGAGAACCCCTAAATGAAAGCACGGTTTGGGGAGCAATACGCGGAGGGGACCGTTCCACTCCTTGGCAACCTTCACGGAACAGAGGAGAGAAGTATTCCTATTGATTGATGTGTGTGTGGGGGTGGGAGGCGGCGGGAGGAGGAGAAGGAGCAGGAGGAGGAGAAGGAGCAGGGAGAGAAGGAGGAAGGGGAGATGGAGGACGGAGGAGGAGGAGGGAGGAGGGAGGAGAAGGAGGAGGACGAGGAGGAGGAGGACGAAGAGGAGAAGTGATGAGGAGTGAGGAGGAGTGAGGAGCAGGAGGAGTGAGGAGGAGGAGAGGAGGAGGAGGAGGAGGAGGAGGAGGAGGGGGAGGGAGAACGAGGCGTGAGGATGATGAGGGGAGGGAGGAGAAGCCCTCAGAGCGAGCGCTCCAGCTGGGCCCCCAGAGCGAGTCCCAAGGCGAGGGCGCAGGGCGCGCCAAACGGAGGGGGTGGTGCGGCCTCCACGAGGCTGGCGCGCAGCGCACCCGAAGCGCCGCGGACCTGGGACGAGCAGGGAGGTGCCGAGACCGCTCCTCGTGGTGGTCCATCCTCCTCCTCCTCCTCCTCCTCCTCCCCTCCTCCTCTCCTCCTCCCTCCTCGCACTCCTCCGCCTCCTCCTCCTCTCCTCCTCCTCCTCCTCCGCCCCTCCCTCCCACCCTCCCTCCCCTCCTCCCTCCCTCCCCCTCCTCCTCCTCCTCCTCCTCCTCCTCCTCCTCCTCCTCCCTCCTGGGAGGGCACGTCTTCACGACACCGCCATAGTCCTCCAGCTCGTCCTCCTCAGACTCTTGCCTCCTTCACCCCCACCCCTTATGAGGAAGAGGGATGTCTCTTCACGTCGTCTGCACGGCAACTCAAGTGTGGCTTCCTATGACTATTCAGTGTCGTCGTGTGTTTCAGTAGGGTGACGCTCAAGTGCAAAATGGTCAACGCCACTGTATACATGTGAATATTGGCAGGCGGGGCAATCATGCGATGACCCAGTCTCTGCCTCACTCACTCACCCCCTCCTCATAAAACTTACACCTCCTCCTCACCCTCCTACCGCAGTAACAACACGTGCTCGCGACACAGCCATCCTCCGCCGCCGTATTCTCCGGCCTCTAACTCCTCCTCTCTCATGCGCATCCCCATCCTCATTATCCTCCCTGTTTGTGCTCCTCCTATTACGCCTCCTCTTCCTCCCTCCTCTTCCCTCTCATGTCTCTCCTCACTCCACCTTCCATTTACCTTCTCCTCCCTCCTCCTCCTCCTCCACCTCCTCCTCCTCCTCCTTCCTCCTCTGTCCGTCCTCATCGTCGACCTCCTTTTCCTCGGTTTCCTCCCCTGGAAGACCGTCCGCCTCCTCCGGCCCACACCTGGGAGTTTTGGCAAATGGTCGGTGTCTGGAAATTTTGTCGCCCCCCCCCGGCGAAGCAGTGAGAAACGGGTCCCCCGGGAGCTGCCGAGAGGTCTGGGGATCCCCCCCCGATTGAACAATTCCAAGCGTAAGCGGTGTGGATCCTCTTCCTCCATCCTCCTCACCTTTTCTGACGTTGGCCATGCATGAGCATCTAGGCTGTTCTTTCAATACAGTGAGGCCTCGAGACAAAAATGAAAACGCCGACTTTGGCCTTTGATAACACATTAAGCTGACGGCGCGCACATCCTTCTCTTCCTCATCCCCATCGCACGTAGCATGAGGCGTAACCAAGTCACTCAATTCGACCTGCTTCAGCATCTGGGCACGTACGGCACGTTCAGAAACTACCAAAGGCGTCGAGGGCGGGCGACCATGTGCACCGTAGATGCAAAGGGCGGTGCTCCTCCTCCTGCTCTTTCCGTTGGCTTGCCTGTGCTATGAGCTTTGCCCTCCCCTCGTGGTCGGGTCACGGGCTCTGGCAGTTGCACCCCCCGCCGCACCGCGGCTTGCAGGCGTCTCTCGCTTTGCCGCTGGCCGCCCGCGGGTCGGAGGTCGCGGTTGGCACTCGACAGACTGCCGGGAGTCTTTGGTGGGCCTGCCTTCCCCGCCTCCTCACCGCCCCCTCCACGATGCTCGGTGCTGTGGCCAGCATCGCTGGTGACAGCAGATGCCTAGGGCTTTTCCTCCCCGCCGTCCGCCAGGGAAGGAAGGCGAAAGATGAACTCTGACTGGGCAAAACAAGCACCTGGCAGAGCAGCGGAGGAGAGGGGAACGACAACACGGCGGGGACTCCTCCTCCTCCTCCTCCTCCTCCTCCTCCTCCTCCTCCTCCTCCCCCCCTCATCATCCCTGATCATCCTCCTCCTCCTCCCCCTCCTCCTCCTAATCCTTCTCCTCCTCCTCCTCCTCCTCCTCCTCCTCCTCCTCCTCCTCCTCCCTGTTCCTCCCTTCTGCTCCTCCTTCTCCTCCGCATCCTCCTCCCCTTCCTCTCTCCTTGCCCTGCCCTCCTCCCCTCCTCCTCCCCTTTCCGTCCCCTCCTCCTCCTCCTCCTCCTCCTCCTCCTCCTCCTCCTCCTCCTCCTCCTCCATGTAACATCGTGAGAATCACGAGCGCAGCCCTCGGCCCCAGCTTCCTGCAGCACGTTTCGAGCTCGATCGATCTGCGACGGCCCCGGGGCCCACGATGGGGCGAAACCGCCTTATTTTGAAAAAAAAACACTGCAACGCCAGGATCACAAGGGCGCGTTCCGACAAGAGTTTCGAAGCGCAGCCAGCCGTGGCGACGAGGGATCTCCAAGAAGGCCCCCAGATGCCGAAATCCGAAATCGAGGCAACAACAGCGGTAGGGGTATTCGGTCGGTACCTTTTTGTCGGTCCCTCCTTCTTCCTCCTCCACAGAGTGCGGCGCAAACGTTCGCCCGGCCCGAGATGAAACCAGCAGGCAGATGAAATTGGCCTGGCGAAGAACCCGACCATATGCAGTTGTGAGTGCCGCAGACGTGAGTATCGTCTCCGGTAGAGCTTCTTGTGGGGGCGAAACGTGTGAGGTGTGTGTGTGTGTGTGTGTGTGTCAAAGTGGGACGGCGGCGGCACGCGGGCGCTGCCACCGGGGCCTTCGGTCGAGCACCCTATGGGGCCACGAAGCGTGTGAGGAGCGCGCCAGAATGGAAATGAAGCTGCATGCGGACCCTGCCACTGGGGCCTTCGGTGGAGGACCGTATTGTGCCAGGAAACGTGTGAGGGGTGCGCCGACACAGGGGTGGAACTGCATACGGACCCTGCCGCTGGTGCCTTCGGTGGAGCACCCCATGGGGCCACGAAACGTGTGAGGGGTGCGCCGAAATGGAAGTGGAATTGCATGCGGACCCTGCCACTGGGGCATTCGGTGGAGCACCCTGTGGGGCCACGAAACGCGTGAGGGGTGCGCCAAAATGGAAGTGGAACTGCATGCGGACCCTGCCACTGGGGCATTCGGTGGAGCACCCTGTGGGGCCACGAAACGCGTGAGGGGTGCGCCAAAATGAAAGTGGAACTGCATGCGGACCCTGCCACTGGGGCCTTCGGTGGAGCTCCCGATGGGGCCACGAAACGTGTGAGGGGTGCGCCGTAATGGAAGTGGAACTGCATGCGGAGCCTGCCACTGGGGCATTCGGTGGAGAACCCTGTGGGGTCACGAAACGCGTGAGGGGTGCGCCAACATGAGGGTGGAACTGCATACGGACCCTGCCACTGGTGCCTTCGGTGGAGCACCCCATGGGGCCACGAAACGTGTGGGTGCGCCGGCATGGAAGTGGAACAACATGCGGAGCCTGCCACTGGGACGTTCGGTGAAGCACCCAATGGGGCCACGAAGCGTGTGAGGGGTGCGCCGATATGGTGGTGGAACTCCATGCGGACCCTGCCGCTGGGGCCTTCGGTGGAGCACCATATTGGGCCACGAAACGTGTGAGGGGTGCGCGGACATGGAGATGGAACTGTACGCGGACCCTGCCACTGGGGCGTTCGGTGGAGCACCCAATGGGGCCACGAAGCGTGTGAGGGGTGCGCCGACATGGAAGTGGAACTGCATGCGGCCCCTGCCACTGGGACATTCGGTGGAGCACCCTGTGGGGCCACGAAACGTGTGAGGGGTGCGACGAAATCGGGGTGGAACTGCATGCGGACCCTGCCGCTGGTGCCTTCGGCGATGCACTTCATGGGGACACGAAGCGTGTGAGGGGTGCGAAGGAATATGGGTGGAACTGCATGCGGAGCCTGCCGCTGGTGCCTTCGGCAGAGCACTTTTTGGGGCCACGAAGCGTGTGAGGGGTGCGAAAAAATATGGGTGGAGCTGCATGCGGAGCCTGCCACTGGGGCCTTCGATGGAGCACCCTATGGGGCCACGAGACGCGCGAGCGGTGCAACGAAAATGGCAGTGGAACTGCATGCGGACCCTGCCGCTGGTGCCTTCGGTGGAGCACCCGATGGAGGACATGCGGAGGGCAGAGGCAGGAAGGGAAGGAGGATGGGAGGAGGGAGGAAACGAGGGAGGGAGGGAATGCGGGGGCCGTCTCTTCAAAACGAGGGCCCAACACCACAGGATGGTTGGGAAAATCACTGCAACGCCAGGATCACAGGGGCGTTTTCCGACCAGAGATTCGGAGCGCATCCAGCCGATGCGACAAGGGGATCTCCAGGAAGGCCCCCAGGTGCCGAAAACGAGGCCATGGCAGCGGTAGAGATATTCGGTGCCTCTTTGTCGGCACCTTCTTCTTCCTCCTCCACAGAGTGCGGCGCAAACGTTCGCCCGGCCCGAGGTGAGACCAGCAGGCGGTCGCAGCACAGCGCCAGCAGCGGCTTCAGCGCCAACAGCCCCGCCAGCTGCGACGCGCAGGCGCCCCCCGCGGCGGCGGCGCCGGGGCACTCGGCCTCGAGCGCGTCGCCGTAGGGGCCCTGGGGCGGCCGCGGGCGGCGAGGGCGGCGGCGACGAAGACGGCGCGGCGCCGACGGCGACAACCCAGATTGGGGCTTGGAGAATATCCACGATACGATGGCTATGCTCGTCCACCACTCAGTGGTAAGTGGCGGCCCAAGCGGGGTGCATCTATATATATATATATATATATATATATATACTAGAACAATCGCGCGCGCTTCGAGCGCGCTCAGGTTCTAGCAGGCCCCAGGCCTTGACGAATTCACTACTGCTCCACTGAAGTAGTGGACCACAGTCCACGCATGCCAATATGCATTCCGAAAGGCCTTCGAGGAAAATGGTTGTGTAGGGGGGCGGAGGCTGTATGAATCGGGTTCCCAGAAGGCCTTTTGGGAGCATGGGTTTGGGGCGTCTTGGGGAGCCTGATGGGGCGTGCCGTCGTCGTCGTCGTCGTCGTCGTCGTCGTCGTCGTCGTCGTCGTCGTCGTCGTCTTCGTCGTCGTCTTCGTCGTCGTCGTCGTCGATTCAAGGGGGCACTTTGGGCAACTTCGTGCGAAACGATCTGCGAAGGGCCGCGAGAAGGCGATCAATCATGTTCCCAATCAACTTCCCAGAGAACTCTCCTGTAGCATGATGGTACTTCGAAACCTCCGGAGACTCGCGGGCCCATGATGAACCATGTCCCCGGAAGGCTTTCTGGGAACATGGTTTGTTGGGGTGTGTTGGGGGGTCTCTTGGGCGTTCCCTGGGGGCCCCTTGGGGGCCTCCGGGAACTCTCGGGCCCATGATGAACCATGTCCCCCGAAGGTTTTCTGGAGACATGATTTCTTGGGGTGTGTTGGGGGGGCTCTTGGGCGTTCCCTGGGGCCCCTTGGGGGTCCCTTGGGGCTTCCTGGTGGCCTCTTGGGCGCCTCACGGGGCTTCGTGGGAGCCTCTTGGTGGCCTCTGGGGGCCTACAGGCGGCCTCGAGGGCCAGAGACCTCGAAATATCGGTTGGCGGTCCCCCTCTGGGTCCTCTCTTGGGGAGCTCTTGGGGCACAGTTGGGTTGTGTGGGGAGCCTCCTGGGCCGTCTTGGGGTTCGGGGCCTCCTGGCCCGTCTTGGAGCGATCTGAAGGGCCTCCGAGCGAGGCCGTGAGGGAGCGCTGGGAAGCGGGGAAAGCGAGAACGCCTAAATCGTTAAAAAAACCAGCAGAAATTAATGAATCTTGCCTCCCAGGGCCCTCTTGGGGAGCCTCTTGAGTCCGCCCTGGAGCGTGTTCGAGTCCTCGTCGGCCGTTTTGAGGGCAGCTTGGGCGTCTTCGGGGCTTCTTGGGACTGGCTAGGGCCCTCTCGGGACCTCCATTAGCCTGTCGTGGCCCGCTTCGGGGCGGGCCCGGGCCGCCTCGGGACTCCTCTGGGCCTTCTCTTGGCGCGCTCTTGGGGCACACTTGGGTTGTCTGGGGAGCATCCTGGGCCGTCTTGGGGCCTTCGTCGGGGCCTCGTGGGCCGTCTTAGAGCGATCTGAAACTCCTCCGAGGCCGTGGGGGAGCGCTGGAAAGCGGGAAAAGCGAGAACGCCAAAATCCAAAACACTCGGAAAACGAGTGAATCTTGCCTTCCAGGGCCCTCTTGGGGAGCCTCTTGAGTCCGCCCTGGAGCGTGTTGGAGTCCTCGTTGTCTGTCTTGAGGGCATCTTGGGCGTCTTCGGGGCCTCGTGGGACCGTCTTGGGTCCTCTCGGTACCCCCTTAGCCTGTCGTGGCCTCCTTCGGGGCGGGCTCGGGCCGCCTCGGGAGCTCTGGACTCCCCCCCGCAACCCCTGGCCCTGGTGGGCACCGATGGGGGGAACAGGCAGCGGCCCGCCCCCCCCCCCCTTGGGCATACTCCGAGATAGAGAATCATGTTCCCAGGAAGCTTTCTGGGACTGGGGCACTGCAAAGACGAAGCCAGCGAGTTTGCTGAAAATGCACGTTTTACAAAGAAAGTAGGCCGACTTTTGCCTCTTGAAGGCCCTCTCGGGGCCCCTCTTCGGCCATGTTCAAGCCATCTGGGGCCCTCTTGGGCCTCGCTGAGGGTGTCCTTGGGCCCAGTAGGGAGCCCTGGGAGCCCGGAAGTCATGATTCCGGAGAGGCTTCCGGGAACATGATTTCGAACGGGGCCCTGTTGGGCCTCCCTGAGGCCATCTTGGGGCCTCCTGGGCTGGCTTCGGGGCCTCTTGGGCCGTCTCGGGGGGGTCCGTGAGCCCCACAGGCAGACCCTTTTGGGCCGTCTGCGGCCCTCTTGGGTCTCTCTTGGGCTGTCTTGGGGCTCCTCGGGGGCGTCTGGGGCACTGCGAAGACGAAGCCAGCGAGTATGCTGAAAATGTACGTTTTACAAAGAGTATAAACCTACTTTTGCCTCTTGAAGGCCCTCTCGGGGCCCCTCTTCGGCCATTTTCAAGCCATCTCGGGCCCTCTGGGGCTTCGCTGAGGCTGTCTTGTGGGCCTCTTGGGCGTCCTCGGAACCCAGGAATCATGTTCCCGGAGAGGCTTCCGGGAACATGATTTCGAACGAGGCAAGGGGCTTCCTGGGCCGGCTTTGGGGCCTCTTGGGCCGTCTCGGGGGGTTCCGTGGGCCCCACAGGACGACCCTTTTAGGCCGTCTGGGGCCTTCTTGGGTCTCTCTTGGGCTGTCTTGGGGCTCCGCGGGGGCGTCTGGGGCACTGTGAAGACGAAGCCAGCGAGTATGCCGAGAATGTACGTTTTACGACGGGAAATGGGAAGATGTTTGCCTCTTGAAGGCCCTTTTGGGGCCCTCGCGGGCCCTCTCGGGGCGCTCTTGGGCGTCTTCGGGGCCTCTTCAGGCTTTCTTGACCATCTGTACGGCCCGCGTGGCCTGTCGTGGGCAATTTGGAAGCGGCCCGGGGCAGTCCCGGGGGGTCTGTGACCCCCCAAAGGTTCGGGGGGCGGCCATGGGGGATGACGGCACCGATTTTGGCCCCCGCCCCGGCCTACTCATACATATATATATATATATATATATAAATATATACACATACATACATACATACACACATACATACATACATACATACATACATACATACATACATACATACATACATACATACATACATGCATGCATGCATGCATGCATGCATGCATGCATACATACATACATACATACACACACATACATACATACATGCATGCATGCATACATACATACATACATACATACATCAATACATACATATGTACATACATGCATACATACATATATACATACACACATACATACATACATTTATACAACCATACATCCATACATACATACATACATACATACATATATACTTATATACTTACATACATGCATAGATACATACATAGATACATACATACATATATACATACATACATACATACATACATACATGCATCCATACACGCACGTACGTACGTACATACATACATACATACATACATACATGTATATATACATACATACATACATATGCATACACACATATATATATAGGCATACGCATGCAGCAACATACATATGTATACACATATGTACACATTTGTGTAAGTCTAGGTACATACACATATGTATCTACATGTATATAGATGTGTATATATATGTATATGTATGTGTGTGGAGGGGTGCGTGCATGTGTGTGTGTGTGTGTGTGAGGGCGTGTGTGCGCGTGTGTTTCGACACCTGACACCCATAAAACCAGCCTGGAACTCATACGCTGTACGTTGTCTTCTGGCGTTTCTGCGAAGCTACTGGGACAGGACCCACGTAGTGTATACGCGCGCGGTCCCCACCAGCCACCCAACGTACAAGTAGGGCATGTTTTATCGCCGTTCGACTGCGAACGCAAGCGTACATGCACCAAACGAAAAGAAGAAAAGGACGAACAACAAAAAAAGCGAATCCCCTCCGCGTGGTTAGCCTCAGCACCACCAGGTTCCGCGCCTGGGAGCAGCAACGCGACCAAAACTCTGCAGGCACGCCGCCGCTCCTCAGCCCTCCATGGCGCCAACCTTGAAGCAATACCTCCACGAGGTCGACCGCAACCCCCAGCCAGTCACCCTTACGCCTTACGCCTTAGGCCTTGCACCTTACGCGGCGTCGAGGGCCCGAGCGGCCCACACGCCGAGCGGTGCCCAGCGGCATGGCCCCTGGCGCGGGCCCCCCCGCCCAGGAAACGCGCGCGCCGCGTGCCGCGGCGCGCAGCCGCAGCCTCCGCCCAGCAGCGCCCTCTAGCGGCGGGCTGAGGACGCCCAGCGCCGACCCCGCGCGCACGAAGCTGCCGCGCGGTCCGCGGGGCCCGGCAGGGCCTCCACCACCAGCCGCGCCACGAGTGGGGCATTTGTTAAGGAACCCTTGGATCAGGAATCCAGGGCCTGGAGACCTGCGGGACGTCAATGGAGAAATGGCCATGTGCATCACCGCGGCCCTCATCGGACGAGGAATAATCTGGGGTCTGAGGCCTTCTGGGCACATCCCTTAACCAATGCGCCCGCCGTATTGAAAATAACAAGACGGAGGCTTTTCCTTATTTTCGGCCTCTTGGGGCCCTCGCCCGGCTCCAGGACAGTCAGAAAACGACTCGGGATGAAAAGCTGGCCCCTGGGGAATGGGTCGAGACCTCTGGGGGTCGGCTTTGTGCAATAATAGCAACGTCGTTCTGGGGACGGTGGCTACCACCAGGAAGCCGGAAGCACTTACTTGCCGCAGCGATGTGAGTCGCACCGCGGTCGGGCTGGAGCCAACCGCGGACTAGAATAGCACATCGCGCACCTATGTATACAGTGGGAGAGGCAAGAGAGCAGCCGCGGAGGAGGACGTAATTAGGAGGAGACACTATCAGAGCACGATATACTTCACGCACGGAGCCCGGGAAGCTGGAAACACACACACACACACACACACACACACACACGCACGCACGCACGCACGCACGCACGCACGCACGCACGCACGCACAGCTGGAGGCCACTTGCTGGGTACGCATGTGCAGGATCACCACACTGGGCTATACGGGGGCCCAGCGCTGGAAAGCCATGCGGTTACATGTGGCTCCAGAGGCCGGCCATGTTGTTCCCCAATCAGTGCTTGCACTGAAGGTGTCCTAGCGGACATGGAAAGATTTGGCGACAATGCCAGGCCGATTTCGGTGGACGGCCGGGTTCCTGGGTTCCCGGTTCCCGGGTTCCCGGGTTCCCGGGTTCCCGGTTCTGGGCCGAGTTCGGTGGGCGGCTGGGTTCCTGGGCTCCCAGGTTCCTGGTAGATCTTCCTATTATTATCGATCGGTTTCGCTATCGATATCATTACCCATCTCTCTATCGTTCTCACAATCGATCTCAGTATCAATCTCACTATCGATCTCGCTTTAGATCGCACGAGCGATCTCACGATCGAACTCACTATCGATCTTATTGAATCGACTTCACTCTCGGTCTCACAATCGACCTTACAAACGTCCTCATTATCGATTCCACTATCGATCGCAATATTCATGTGACTCATTCTCAACCATCCACTGATTGGGGTTTTTCTCCTGTGTAATCTGTACCCAGCTTCTTGGCAGAGGACTCCCAAAGGGGGCCCGCGTGGGGCCAGAGGACCGAGCCGCATCGCCGGCGCAACGGCTGCGCACTGGGGCGACGTCGGGAAGAGAAAACAAGGCGTCTGGGAGGCCTAGAAACCCAGACCCCCGACGTCGTCATTTTGTCACAACGTCGGCCACCAGAGAACTCGACCCTCCCCCGGGGCCGGCTTTGCATCCCGAGTCGTTTTCTCGTCGGGCCTGGGGCCCGGTGAAGGCTTCAGGGGCCGAAAACAATCAGAAACCGTCCGTTGCGCATTCGTCGCGAGCCGAGGGGTTCTGGGAGGCCTGGAGTGACGGCAGCGGCGGCGGCGACGGCGGCAGCGCGAGCGACGGCGACGGTGTCGATGACGGCGGCGACGCAGGACAGGGTCCGAGGCTGGATTTTCGGGTCGTGCTTCAAGGGAGCCCCAAGGCTCGATCGTTTCTGGCCCTCGGGGAGCTCGGCGCAGCTGCTGCGAAGCATCCCCGGGCTGGAACACCGCCGGGAACCGACAAAAGCGTCCGAAGAAAATGCAGATGCCGGTGGCGGTCCTGCCTTGGGGGTTGCTGCGGGTGCCCCTGGCCCAGGGTGCCAGCAGCTTCTCGCTCCCTTCTGGAGCGCCTCGGGCCCCCCGGGGCCCTGTGAGGGGTCCTCCGGGGGCCGTGGGGGCCTCGCCTCGACCCTTGTCGTCGATCACCCCCGATCCTCGTCCTAAAGGGGAGGAGGAGGAGGAGGAGGAGGAGGAGGAGGAGGAGGAGGAGGAGGAGGACGAAGAGGAGGAGGAGGAGGAAGAGGAGGAGGTGGAGGAGGAGGGGGAGGAGCGGGAGGAGGAGGAGGAGGAGGAGGAGGAGAACTCCTGGGGGCCCTCGGAAGGCCCCTGGGGACCTCCGCGCAGGCCTCAAAGAGTCCTCCGCTTGGCCCACAGGGGCCCGACGGGCCGCAGCGAGCTCGAGCACCCAGCTGGAGAAGCCCGCCGCAGGCGCCAAAGTCTCACAAGTTATACCACAAGCCCGTCGCAGGCGCCGATTTTTTTTTCAAGTCAATGTGGGTCGGTCGCGGGTGGGTCGCGGGAGGGTCGCGGGTGGGTCGCGGGGGGGTCGCGGGGTGGGTCGTAAATGGGTCGCGGGTGGGTCGCGGATGGGTCGCGGGGCGGGTCGCGAGTGGGTCGCAGGGTGGGTCGCGGGTGGATCGCGGGTGGGTCGCGGGTGGGTCGCGAGATGGGTCGCGGGGTGGGTCGCGGGGTTGATCGCGGGGTGGGTCGCGGGTGGGTCGCGGGGGGGACGACGACAACAAACGACAACAACAACAACAACAACAACAACAACAACAACAACAACAACCACAACAACAACAACAACATCAACAACAACAGCAGCAACAACAACAACAATAGCAATAGCAACAACAACAGCAACAGCAACAACGACAACAACAACAACAACAACAATAGCACCATCAACAACAACAACAACAACAACAACGAACACAACAACATCAACAACAACAACATGAACAACAATAGCAATAACATCAACAACAACAACGACAACAACAGCAGCAAAATTAACACAACCGACAACAGCAACAACAACAGCAACAGCACCAACTACAACAACAACAACAACAACAACAGCTACAACAACAAACATAATCCTCATCACGGATTCTCACTTCAGCCACGCACCCAGGGAACATGAATGACCGTTCGGCCCCCTCACTCTGATCCTCAATCACAATTTTCAAAAGTGCTCGAACATACTCAAAAATCGTCCCCCGACAAGTTTTAAACTATCTTTGAATGTTCCTCCACCTGTACATGGACAGGCCCGATTTAACCATAGGTTCCCCAACCCAGCTCTTGGAGGCGGCCCGGAAACAGAGCCCCTCCAGAGGCAAAGGCGGTCACTACTCCTAATCCCTTATGAATCGACCACCCCCCTCCTCCAAATGCGACCCAATATTCCGGACACCCGACGGGGCGCCTTAATAATCCGAACCCCCTACGCTCCAATCCAAAGAAAGCGCGCTAAGAAACCAGACCCCCCCGGTTACAAAAAAGGCGCCTTAAAAAACCGGACCCGGGGGAAGATTAACAAGGGATTTTGCATATTTCGGCTTCTTGACTGTACGCCAGAAAGGCTGGAACCACATTTGGCTGGATCACAGGCGCGCGGTCAGGTCGACGTCGCCGCCGCTCGCAGAAGCCCGAGCGGGGTCCACGAGACTGTGGCCTCATCTGTGGCAAGTTTGGACACCCGCGGGGGGTGTTGACGCGATAGGGCGGCTACAAGCGGATGCTAAGGTGGGGTCTATTTGGTCCGACCTAGCAAATAACCAGGTTATAGGTGCCCCAAATGAATGCGGGGGGCTAGATGACTCCGCTAGGTGGGCCCAGACCTGTACCCCCCCTGAGCCACCTGGGCTATTCCCAACCCAGTTAACAACTAGATTTGGCCAGATATGCTCCACCTTGGCTAGGCGTCGCGCAAAACGGGGTAGCGCGAGGGAGGGGGGGGTCCTGAGAAGTCGGTGGGCCTCTGAGAAGGCAGGGGCCTTCGTACGTTGAAGTGCCCCGAGACTTCCAAGAAACCTCCTCATAGGCCCGGCGGGCTTCTAACAAAGGCTACGCCTTCTAAGAAGGCCCCCGCCTCCTTGGGGACGACCATCCCCCTCTCGCGCCTCCTCTTTGTGCGCGCAGCCAACCGGTACCCGCTTACGGTCTGGAACTTTTGCTTAGCTTGTCGCGGCGGCAGCACTGACAACACGCTACTCTAGGTTTCTTAATCAGCGTGTGGAGGTAACCCCCCGACGGGGGTCAACCTCGCGTCGGCGTCGCGCCGCGACGGGGGTCGGAGCGCCTTTGACGCGCGGTGGCTGCCCACGACGGGGGTCGACGTGGGCTGTCGGCGGGGGTGGCGCCCCCTCGACGCTTATTAAGAAACTCGGAGTATGCGATCTGATAGCCCGTCGCTCCGCTCCGCGAGGCGGGAAGTGGGAAAAGCTCCAGACGCCGACGCACGGGGCCCCGCCAGCGACCAGCGTATCGCACCGAAGCGCGGCGGGCCAGAACCCCCGGCGCGAAACGCTGAGCAAAAGTTTCCGACAGTATCGCTCGAGCTGGAGATCGACTGCAGAGTTCATTCACCCCAGCTTTGGTTTGAGCGCGTTTCTTTATTTCCGGCGATAATGGGCATTATAGTGGGGGAGAGGGGCCAGGGCGGGGGTATTATGTAACGCCTCACCTCCGCCGTGCGCACGGCGGCAGTGCCCGGAGCGCACTGGGGGGGGGAGGAGCGTTACGTTATAGGGGGGGTGGCCGGGGGCTAAAATGCCAACTATGCCCCAAGCAACAAAGGAACACGCTCGAATTGGTTTGCTCGTCGAGTCTACAAAACGTCGATTTGCACGTGGACTGTTCGCAAATCTACAAAAACGCTCGACGCATTCTTCGCGGGCTCAGCGGAACAGTCAGCTTGAGGGCACACCGATTCGGCAGTCGATCTCCTGCTCGACGAACGCAAAACCCACCGACCACCCTCCGCGGCGCGGCCCAAGCAGGGGAACCACGGCTGCCGAGGCCTCCCCTGCCGGCCAGCGGCGGCGCGGCGAAGTGCGCACCGAGCAGAGGGGGTCTCCTCCTCCTCCTCCTCCTCCTCCTCCTCCTCCTCCTCCTCCTCCTCCTCCTCCTCCTCCTCCTCCCCCCCTCCTCTTCCTCCTCCTCCTCCTCCTCCTCCTCCTCCTCCTCCTCCCCCTCCTCCTTCTCCTCCGAGCGGCGGCTCCTGGAACAGCAGCGCGCACGCCGGGTGGAGCGCGGCCGCCGCGCCCGAGACGGCCTCCGCGTAGGCGCTGTCCGCGCCGTACCACACGATGACGACGGCAACCTGAGGGGGGGAAGCACTGGATGGTCGCAGCTGGCGCCTTCGGGCATCCGGGTCAGAGCTGCGGAGGTGCGTTGACACCCCTCCCTGCGGCGTCTTTTTTGGCCGAGGGGCCGTAGGGAGGGCATCGGCCCCCTCTGGTAGCACTTGACGCCGTCATGATAGGTGGGGGTGGGAACCCACGCCCCTGTGATGGGAGCCGCGCGGGATGTGGGGCCTACAGGCGGTCCTCACGGGTGAGGCCCAAGTGTCCGCCTATGATATGATTCGTGCACGTCGGTCGGAAGAAATCAATAGAAGCATGACGTAGGACGGCGATGGAAGTAGATTGGGTCTCCGCCCGCCGCCCGAAGAGGAAGGAAAAGGTGAAAGCACTCGATCGTTGAAGTAGGAAGGCGCCTAAAGTAGAATTGGGATCTGGAGATCCCAAAATACCTACTTTCAACGACCGATCTGTAATCTGTTGTCTCGATCCAGGCGCTGTTCCTCGATGTCGGCTCCTGGGGCCCGTAGCTTGTCCGCTGGGCCACTAAAAAAGAAGCCTGGGACGGGGCAGTGCCCACGGGAGAGGCGTCGGTCCTGGGGCTCCTGGGGTCCGGTAACGGGCCCAGGGCAAGACACTACCCAACGCGGAAGGGGTCTCGAGACCTCTGGGGCCGCGGGCTGAAATAATCGCATGGTCGGAGGTCTGGGTGCCCTTCCTTGCCAACTGACGGCTCCGCTCCGTGCAGACCTGCACGATGAGGGCGGCAACCAGGGGGTGGCCATGCGATTGGGCAGCCGGACTGCTCCTGGAGGCTGACAGATGCCAGCCTCTCAGATGGGCACGGGACATTCCAACAATGCTGGGATGGGCATGGACGAAGGGGAAGATGACGAGGAGGAGGGGCGGGGTCCAACCCGAGGAAGCAGAAGGAACTGCGGTTGTAACGTGCGAGCGCCTGCAGAAAGACCGCTTGCCTCGTGGCCTTGAACCGTTAAATCGAGCGGACAATCCCACCGATTGCCCGCCACGAGAACCCTAGAATTATGATGTTCCAACCTACTTTAGCCTTGACCGCCAGAAAGAATTTCGAGCACCCCAAAAAATACCGAAACTCTAGGGTTTTCACGTGTCGGGCCATGGGAGACACTCGTCCGACACTGTTTCGACACTCTTTCGACACTTTTCTGGGATGTGGTCCTCAAACACGATGGGAGCAGCATAGCCCTAGAATCGTCTCGGCTCATGCTTCGCTCAAACAACAAGGCTGGCCCCGGTAAACGGGGGAGCGGCATGCCACAGTGGTGCGGTTGGCCCCGCGCCGAGAGGTGCGGGTTGCTCGTGAAGCTCGCCCTCAGGGCTGGACATCCCCAAACCTCAGAATCAACCAGCATCGGTGCGGGAAACCGGATCGACTCGGACGTATAGGTCGGATCGGGCTGAATCGGCACGGGATCAAAATCGAATCGGGTCGGCCGCGCCGAGAACCACCACAACGCCGTGCAGGCATCGGCCCGCATCACATCATCGGAACATTCGAATCGAATCAGATCGATCGGATCGACATGGACCGTGGATCTCCTTCCAAAGCAAGCCAACTTCCGGGGGCCTCGGCACCATGTCTTCAGCTTCCGCGGCGGGAATCGCCGAAAAACAAGTATCGTGAAGCAAACTGAAACCGTCTTCCCACATTGAATATTCGGTCGGGCATGTCCCCCTACAGTCGGATCTTGAAGGAAAAACACACAATAGACAAGACACATTGAAAAAACATTTAAAATGACGGACACTTCGTCCCCAGACTATTGTTTCTCTTTTCGAATATCCCTCCTGTATAAAACACGCCCGACTTAACTTGAATGGTCTCTGCATCTTTTGGGGACGGAGATTTGACGTCCGCAGGCAGAATCACCCCAGCTTGGCGTCCGCCGCCCTCACGAATCGGGCACCCAAGTTATCGGACAAAGACCTGGTCGGGGTAGGGCCCTGTTTGGTGTTCCTAGATAAGAAGCGGGAGAATCCTGGAACCGCTTGGTCTGGATTAACTCGTGCTTGAGAAGAGCACGGGGCAGCATCTCCATGGGGCAGAATATGACGTGGGAAACCTCGAGTGGAGCGCAAGTCGGGGCAACGCGGGCGCGACAGCGAGAGGCCCGCATCAGGAATTATCCCTGGCCACCTCGTGCCCTGATAACTCGGGGCTCTGGAGGGAAGGCCCTCTGGAGCGCCCTGGCTCCACGCACGGGACCGAGCCAGTCCCGACAGGAGGAGGGGTGCCAGGCCAGGGGCGAAGGGACGAGGGACCCAAAACTCCGACGATGTGGTTCCTCCGAAACGTTGAGACGAAGCCAGGACAACGACAACATCGGACAGAGATAATGCAACACATGACCCCAACGACCCCAAGTTCGGAAATCCTGCAACCCCTCCTCCCCCTCCTCCTCCTCCTCCCCCCCCTCCCCATCCTCCTCCTCTTCATCCTCCTCCTCCTCCTCCTCCTCCTCCTCCTCCTCCTCCTCCCCCCCCTCCTCCTCCTCCTTCTCCTCCTCCTCCTCCTGCAACCCCTCCTGGGGTACCTGCAGGTCGGCCCTGCAACCCTTGAAGCTCGACGGTTCCAGAGGATGTGCCAGGCGCCGCGGCCTTCTCAGAGCGTTCCGGAACGCTCCGGAAGCGTTAGGGAACGCTCGGGAACGATGCGTCCCTGTCCCACCCCCTTGTGATGCCTGAGTTTCAATACAGTAGGGGCCCGGCCACAAGAAACCTTCCACAAGAAACCCAACCCTGAGACCCCAGGACGTCCATGGACTTTTGGTGTGGGAGCGTCACGCTTTCCACAGCAAAACCATCGATACACAAGTAACCCATGGAGGCTCCTAGTGACGCCTGAGTTTCAATAGTGGTGCCTCAGGTCCAACAGCGATGCCTGAGGTTCCACACGATCGCGCCCGACGCTGGGCCGAGCACTGACTCGGTCGGGCTGCCTGCCTAACTCCTGGCCCCGCAAACAAGACCCCGCCCCCTCCCCGGAACTGCAGACCGGCTTCCCATCCAGAACCGTCCTGGTTGACGTGCACCCGAGGTCCCGCGAGGGACCCCGGAGGCCGCAGGCTGCCCCAAATCCGTCGCGAAGGCAATTGCCACTCGAGTCGGGATTCACCTGCACGCCTCTTCGGCCAAGCGCCGTCCCGAAAGGCGGCGGGGGGGAGGCGAAAGGCCCTGCAGGGTAAGACGCCCTCGTCTCGCAGCGCCAGGGAGGGAGCGCATTCGAGTGCGCTCGGCAGACCCAGGAGGGCCGGAGCTCCCGCCCGCTCTCGGCATCCTGGGGATCCCCTCCTGGAGCGCTGCTTTGGTGGAAGGGGGCTCCGTGACCAGGTCGACGGAGAGAAGGAGGAGGAGGAGGAGGAGGAAGAGAAGGAGGAGGAGGAGGAGCAGCAGCAGCAGCGGCAGCAGAAGCAGCAGCAGGAGCCAGACTTATGTTGTTCTCATCCTACTTGAAGACCACATCCCAGAAAAAATCGAGAACCCGGAAAAGTGTCACAAGAGTGTCGAAACAGTGTCGGACGAGTGTCCCCCAGGGCCCGACAGGTGGAAACCCTCGAGTTTCGGAATTGTTCTGGTGCTCGGAATTCATTCTGGTGCTCGAAGCTAAAAAAGGTTGGAGCAACATTAAGCCAGGAACCAGGAGAGCGCGAGCGCAGGAGGGAGCTCTCCGCAGCGTGGGCCCGGGAGCCAGAGCAAGGCGGAGCAGTGGAGAGGGCAGAGCGCGGAGCCAGAGCGGCGGTAGCAACAGCCGCCCGCGGAGCGCGCGCGCGCGCGCCCTCTGCGCCCCTCCCTGTTTGAAGTCGGCCAGGCTCCGCCCTCCCCGCGGGCGGCGTCCCTGGCCAAGAACCCCGCGCGGCGACGCGCTCCGAGGGCGGAGAGGCGGGCGCCGCGCACCGGCGGGCGGGAGCGCCGCGGGAAGGGGGAGGGGCGCGGATCGAGGAGGAGGAGGAGGAGGAGGAGGAGGAGGAGGAGGAGGAGGAGGATCGAGGAGGAGGAGGATCGAGGAGGAGGATCGAGGAGGAGGGAGAAGAGGAGGGCGTTTTGCTTTGGGCTCCTCGTTTCATGCTTGTATTGGATTGTGCGACAGAAGTGTTTCCCAAACAATGCGTGCGTGCGTCAGGTGGGGTCGTGGGGTCAGGTGGGGTCGTGGGGTCGTGGGGCGTGCGTGAGGAGTTCACGTTGGCATCCTGTGTGCTAGCGCTTGAGGCGCATGCCTAAACGAGCTTAGGGTGGTCGTTTGGGGTATGGTCGTTTCGGGTACGAGGTATGGTCGTTTTGGGCATGCCTAAGCGAGTTGAGCGCCGTGGTATCTGCGACAAAGCCAGAAGGGAGCCAACATTGGACTCATGCAAGTGCGCTTGCATCGCATTTCGACACCCCCCACCACCCCTCCTTTCGCCACAGCGCTGGTTCGAAAGGGCGTGCAAGTGAGTCCATAGCCCACGCTTCCTTTCGGCTCTCGCCACGACCGCTCCACTTCCCATTCCATGCAAGCAAACTTGCAAGAGTCTAGAGGACAACTGCCTCTAGCATGAAGGACACCCAGACCCCTTCGCGTTGCGAACAAAAAACACGACCCACGGTTATTGATTGCATTCAGCCTTCAGGGGACCTTACACAGGACTGGCGCCGTCGAACGACGACTCAAGCTTCGAAGCTGGTCGCCCGGAAGGGGTCCAGACCTCTGGGAAACCACGTCGTGACAAAAATCAAACGTCGGATGTCTGAGAACAGGCCGTGGGTGAGGGGAGAATTGTTCGTAGCTCCTTTGTCGCTTCCAACTTCTGGAGGTCATCCGCTTCCGGCGACTAGAAGCCGTTGTCGCGCCCCACAGCCGTCGCAACGGCGATCTGGGAAGGGCTACTGCACCCAGAGAGTTGACCTCTGTGCGGTGCGGTGCCTGAAAACGTCTACAAGGCTCAGCCTCTTGGCGTCACCACCCCAGAGAGCACGGTGGTCGCAGGGGCTCTCTCCATCTCACTCCTCCTCTCCCATTCACCCTGCCCATCACAGATGTGGCGGGAGTGCTCCCAGAGGCCAAAAACGGTGACTCCCCTTTGCTTGCAAAAGCGTCGGTCTATCTACGTGGCTGATCCACGAACGCCTTGACCCGACACCTTGTGACGTCCAACCTTTTGCTTCCACTGCCTTCCGCCAACCTTCCGCGATCTGAGCAGCCACCATCTTACTGCCGCTGGCTTCCGCCAAGGACGAGCATGCGCCGAAGGCGAAAGCCATTCATGGGGCGCGCCGCGTATCCTCGAGCCTGAATCCAATCCTCCTGATCTTGGGGTTCCCAAAAAGCATCTGTGACGGACCGTGTGGTGAGAACGCAATCCCCCAACACCTCACCGCAAGGTCCGTCGCCGCACCGTCCTGGGACCCAGGAGGCACCAGTCGCCCGAAACATCCTCGGGGGGCGTCCCAGGTCTCAAACCGCGCGGCGGGGACCTCGAGCCCCCACTGACTCACCACATGGTGTAGCCACCGCACTGTGCACCAGTCTGGGAAGCAAGGAGAAGGAGGAGGAGTGAGGAGTGCAAGAGGAGGAGGAGTGCAAGAGGAGAAGGAGGAGAAGGAGGAGAAGGAGGAGAAGGAGGAGGCTGGAACCAAGGCTGGCGGGAGACGCGCCCCGCCCCCCGCGCGCGCGCGAGTTAGCCCGCGAGGATCGTACGCCCGTGGTGGACGCTGCCGCGCTGCCTGGCGACCTCCAGCACCTTGGACAGGAAGGGGTGGCCTGCGAGCGGGGAGGACAAGCCAAGCGCACTGGCTCCATCTCTGACCCTCTACCCCTTTCCGCCCATTCCTTCCCATTGCGCTGACTTTTCCCTAGCCGCCGACGGGCGTCATAGCGGACCCGGAACCCTCATCAGGACACCATCGGTCTGTTTGGCGATGCGCAGTCAGAAAAAACAGGTGAGCTGTCTACAATGGCGGAGGCGGAGGATAGGCAAGATGATGAGCAGGAAGGAGAGGATGACAGGATCAGCAGGAGTGAGAGAAAGAAAAACAAGGAGGGAGGTTTCACCAGGAGTACTGCGACCTCAGCCTCCGAGTTCATGGAGGCTTCGGCTGGGCAAAACATGTGGGCCCAACTCGGGGAGACACGATGGGGTGCGCCCATCCTCGACGAGGATGCGCCCCAATGGCCCCCCTCCAGTGTATCCCCGAGCTTCCGTTCGTTTCTGAGCGGCCTGTTTGTTGGGGCGGGGAAGTCGGAGACCGGGGGCGAAACATCGTCTGCGACGGCTGGTCTTATACTGGGTCTCTTGGCAGACTTCAGAGGTTTCGAGGGGCCTCCGACGGGCAGGAGAGGCAGATGACTCCCTTAAGCTCGAAGCGTTGCTGCTGAAGTCCGGCCTCTCGGAACCTTCCTCGGGACAGGAGACCATCCAACCTCGATTGCAAGTTAGCACATACTCCCTGCAGGAATGTCCAAGGAACTAGAACAGTACTTGTTTGGTTGTACTCTCTGCGTGGTTCTCTTTTTGAATCAGAGGGCGACACAGGATGAAAACCGGCCCGAGGGAAGGGGTCGAGAGGTCTGGGGGGCCACGCCGCGACGAAGTCACGACGCCAGATGTACGGCAAGGGAGGGCCCCGTCTTCCGCGGCAACTGTGCTGCTCCATTGGCGTTTGGGAACCCCTGGTCGAGGCGACGGACGGCCCAGACCCCCCCAGCGTTGCCAAAAAACATTGATATCTGCTCAGTGTCTGGCTTCTGGAGGCCCTTGCGACGCCCCCAGACCATCAAGGCACAGCTCAGCATGAAAACCCAGTCCCAGGGAAGCGGTCCAAACCTGCGGGCCCCACGTTGTGAGAAGACACAGGCGTCGAGGGTCTCGGGGGGGCAGAAGGTTACCCATTTACAGCGTGACGCGCGGTCCTCGGGGGGCACGTCTTTAGAATGGTAGGCACGGATGCACCCACAGCCTAGAATCTGTTCCGTTCGGCGCCTTGGGACCCTCGAAGGACGATTCGGCTCGGGGAGCGCCGTAGGTGCCATGTGGCAAATGTCTTTACCAGACCTGCCAGGTGGGTCCCAGGGACGTGCAACGATACTATAATTCCACGTGGGGTACCTCCTGGTTAAAGCTAGATTTCGTTCGGAAAAGGCTGGTGCAATATTACTAGCAGTGGATTGACTTTCGGCCCGCCCGAATACTAGGCGCTCAAACTAGGAGCCCATGGTTGGTTGTTTTTTTGGAAGACGCCTCATGTAGGTTGTGACATGGACAGCCTGAAAACATAATGGACTATCCCGCACGTGCGAATAATGGTGAGGGTGTGTGAGAGGGTGGGAGATCCCGACCCCTCGGCCAAGACCCTTTATAAAACAAAAACCATCGACCAGGGCCCTTCGCCCGGCGGATGCCGCCCCACAATGGCCACGCACGCGCAAAGAAAATAAACAACAACCATTCGGACTGCGAGTAAAAACAACAACCATCCGAACTGCGAGAACAAGCATTCCATAGCCCTCTTTGCAGTTTCTCCGCAAGCGGAGCCGCCGCCATTCTACTTCCTCCGGCTTCCGCCGACTCCGAGGAAACGCCGATGGCAACGCCTTTCGTGGAGCGCGACGCATGTTGCCACCACCATCGAAGTCGGGGGCCACCTTCCCCTGGTAGAAGTAGCCCCCGACGCCAGTGGTGGTGCCATCTTGTACGCCTCCGGAATGCGTGGGCCCGCCAACAGGGGCACTTGCGAGCCAACCCGAAACCAGAAACGGTACGGTGCAACGCCCGTGACCCAACCAAGTCTCTGGCGGTGCAGCGCGGCATGGGGAGGCACCGCGGGTCCCCGCAGTGCCTGGAATTTGACTCGCACTCCTCCTGCAGCGCAGGCAAGAAAAGCACAGGCCGACCGAGCAGTTTTTGGGGACCAGCTCGCCCCACATGGATGAGGAAAGCGCGCGAACAATGCTTCAGGCGCTTGCGAAGCACGCCCTTCCGCCGCGTTTGAACATCACGCGTGCCACCCGATCATGAACATATGGCACAAGACGCATAAAACGGACAAGCACAAACTTTTGGAGGTCCGAGCGGACATCTTGGGTCGGCACAAGGTCAACCCTCCCCGGGCGCGTGGAGGTCCGCGCTAACATCTTGGGGCGGCGCCAGCGGCGGCGCCAGCGGCGCTGCCAGGGGGGCCCAGCGCCAACCCAAGAACTCCACCGGCGACCGGACCAAGCGCCAGAAAGCCCGGCCTTATTCGACGCCCTGGCCGCTGGCCACGCTGGGGCGGAGCTGGAGCGCCTGGGGACGCCACTCCCGCGCCCCGCCGGGGAGGCCACCCCCGGAGGTGAGCAGGGCGGGCCCCAGGCGGACGACAGCGACCGCCGCCCCGCCGACGCGTACCTGCCCCGGAGATGCATCGGCACGGCGGCGGCCCGGGACTTTGCCACCACGTCCGGGATGCGCGCCGACTTCCTCGCCACTTCGGCCGCTTCGTCAAGTGCGCCGAAGGACGCCGCGAGGAGTTCAACAAGCAGCGCCAGGACACCGCGAGGCAGTGCGCGGCGCAGGGCTTCACCTCCCTCCCCATGGTGGTGGAAGCCCACGGCGGCGGGGGGGGTTGCGAGGCACGCAGGTTTTCGGGGCCCTGGTCGAATGGCTGCGGTAGCGCACCAACACGCCCAGCGACTCTCGATCTCCCTGCATAGGGAGAAAGCGCGGGAGGTGCTGCGGCGCCTCCAGACGCAGTCTGCAGGGACGGGGGTGGCCGCGGCCCCCGTGGCCGCGGCTACGGCAGCCTCCGCGGTGGACGCCGTATGAGGCTTTCCCGGCGCTGCTTAGCGCCCCCCGCCCACCCCCCCGTCATCCTTGCTGGGCCCCCTGCTGGGCAACACGACCGCTCCCCCCCGCGCCTCTCCGCCGGCCGTCCCTTCCTCGGCGGGGCGGCGGATGGACTCCACAAAAGGCAATCCCCATTGAGCCGTAGCGTGCTGGGCTCGGCCAGGCACCCCGCAACGATCCCGACGCCTTCCCCGACGCCACTCCCGACGCCCATCCCCGCGCCCTGCCCCACGCCCTGCCCTTCGCCCAGCCCCACTCCAGCACGACGAACCCGACGACGAACCGACAACCGCCACCCGTCCCTGCACTTGTGTCGCCGCCGTTGTGTCCGTAGCCTCGTCGCGGGTGGCCCTTCTTTCCCAGCCCCTGTTCTGGCTTGTCGCTTGCGGTTGCTCCCCTCTCCCTCCTCGTCTCCCGTCATCCTTGCTTCCCTCCCTTTCCTTTCCTCCTGCTCCCTGCCTGCTGTCTCCGCCTGGCCCCTCTTCCGTCTGCCCGACCGCCCCGCCGGCCCTGGCATCCCGCCTGCGCGTTCGTCGTCGTCTGCCTGCTTCTCCCCTCCTCGTCTCAATCCGCCGGGCAGCACAGCCTTCGCGGGGCCAGTGGGGCGGCGTGTAGGGCACTCAGCGCCGCGACCAGTGGGGCCCGAAATTATATGCCTGTAGACTTTGATCATTGGAAGGGGACATTCGCGGCGGAGGGAGAGGAGGAGGAGGAGCAGGAGCAGGAGCAGGAGCAGGAGCAGGAGGAGGATAGGAACCCCTCCGTGCGAACTGGGCGGTGGCGCCTGGCGACCCGAGGCCCTCCTGGTAGCTGTGCGCTGCGTGAGACGCGTTCCCTGCCTGCCGGTTTTCGGGGTCCTCGACAAGGCGAGTTTGGAATGCACGGGCTGCGTCTCTAGTCCGCCTTCTGCCGCGGCGGCGATGGAGAACAGTAGAACCCTCCGAGCCGAGTGGAGGAGGATGGGAGGACGCTGGAGGAACACGCGGCGGCGCCTTCGAGGAACGCGGCGCTGCCGAAGATAACCAGGTGCCGCCGGGCCCGGGACAAGGCCACGTTCAGCCTCCTGTGGGGAGACGAAAACAACAGTAATTAGACATATGCGATAAGAGACCTTGATTCCGAAGTCTTTGGCCACATTCTTCGTCGATCTTTGAAGGTCATGATGTGCCCCAAACCTTCTGTGGGTCCCTGGGGCCATCGGAGGATGAGAAATGTCAGTGCGGCACCTGCTATCAGGCCGATTTCTTCTTCGAAGTGCCTGTATGGCTCCTGCGCTGATCCTGTCCAGGCACGTCTGGGGCCAATTATGGTTGTACAAAGGCAGAGGCAATCGGATGATGCATTTTGACGAAGGTCGATCATGAATCATTCAGAGCAGGCTGGTCTGCAGGATGTGTCGGGCGCCGCGCCCGTTGTAGAGTGCTCCAGGACGTTGTGAGAGCGTCCCAGGACGCTCTGCAACGAGATATTGTCGTTCTGGGCCTGCCTGATGCAGAGCCTCCTGCATTGGCCAGGGATGCATCTGCGCCGGCCCCTGGTCTTGCCCCGACCTGCGCACGTGCTGAGACATGCAACGTCCTGCGGTCCCCAGAAGTCCCGGCCTTTTCCGAGGGGCTGGCTATTCACCGAGTCATTTTTTTTGGATGGTCCCGAGGCCGGGGAAGATCCCTCTGGGCCCGAAAACCGAGAAACACCTGCGGCTTCTCCTAGTGCGCTGACGGTCTGGATGCTAGATGTACATTTCCTCGCACGAGGTCCTGGGGCAGCACGCGTGACGATCCCGCGGCGCCGCGGCCGAGGAGCGCCCGCAGCTCAGCACGATGACCTCTCGTCGTGGGCTTAAGCCCTTGTGCCATCCCCCGACTCGCGCTGGAGCGGCCACGGTTTGCTCCAGATTTCGCTGGAGATCTTTGGACTTACTTGGATCTGCCCGGGCGTACCAGGCACTGTCTAGATTCACCTCGTCCGTTTTGATCTCCACGCATCGATAGGCGACTAGTCGTCAAGCCGTAAGTGGCCTGGACATAGGCACCAACACGAACACAGGGGATCGCCTCCACCAGGGGAAGATGATCCTGGATGGTGGTGCTGGTGATAACTAATCTTTCGGACACCCAAGAAGCCCAACTATTACCACCATCGCCGAGATCTGGATGATCACCCCTCAGCGGAGGCAGCCGCCGATTCTGTTGCTGGTGTTTACATTATGAGGCAACTACTGGGAGGTCTTCTTCGGAAGGTTTAAAGAGGATTGAACCCCATTGGGGGATGGTGTACGCCGGAGAGGGCCTCGGATTGAGCGGGATTAAGCCAGAGAAAACGGGATTAGGCCGGATTAGACGGGACTAAGCCGTATTAAACCGGCTTTCGGACCAGGGCGAAAGCAGAATTTGACCTCCCAGGAGTTGCATCCGAATTAACCTCTGGGCCTCAGACAGCCCTCCGGGAACCTCCCGCTCCGCGCCCTGGAACGCGTCCGCCGTGGCTGCCTCCACGCCGTGGAGGCCCCGCTGCGCGCACTCGCGCGCGCACGCCGCGGCCTGGGGCCGGTAGAGGCACACGATGCCCACGGCCTCTGCTGGGGAGGCTCGAAGCACGCAGCCTTGAGATCGATCCTGGCGCCGCATCCTTTCACATCGACCATCTTCGTCCGATCTCCGGCCCGGGACCCTCACATATCGATCTGGCTCGGACAATGCAGCTGAAAGGTAGGGTCTGGGGCTCTGGTCGTGAGCTTCATTGACTTCCCGTGATGTAAAAGCACACCATGCCCACGGCGTTTTGGGGAAAGGGGGGCTCGAGGTAGATACACTAGATCGCTCGGTCAGTAAACGAGATCGGTGCAGAGGCGGCGCGCGCGAGGGGGGGTGGCGCGGGCAAGACGTGCTTCGAAGTATACGAGGGGCATCTAAGCAGAGAGGGGGCTTCTTCGAATGGCCCGGGGGCTTCTAATGCAAATATTTTTGATACGTATCACCTCGGTACTTCTACCGAGCCCTCGGCCTTCTTAGAAGCCCCGCGCCATCGTTGAAGGCCGCCCTCATGTGCGCCGCCAGCGTACACATGCACCAGCCCCCCAAGCTGTGAGATGCTCGAACGTTTACTCCAAATCCCTTATTAGTCGTCCCCCAGTTCCAGTTTTTAAAGCGCCTTTTTGTAACTGGGGGGTCCGGTTTACTAGGGCGCTTTCATTGGATTGGAGCCTAAGGGGTCCGGTTTATTAAGGCGCCCCGTCTAAGAGGGGGTTTCGGAATATTAGGTCGCATTTGGAGGGGGATCCGGGTTTTTTGGGGGGTCGATTGATAAAGTGATTTTGAGTACACCGACTACCGGGGAACACCGACTGGCCACCTTAATTCTGTCCAGGCCGCTCCTGGGCCCCGGACCGGTGTCCGAGCCAGGGCCAAATCCTGGCCGGGCCGCTCCTGGGCGAGGCCGGGAGGGCGCACACACTGCCAGCTCCTCCTCCTCCTCTTCGTCTTCGTCCTCTTCGTCCTCGTCCTTGTCCTTCTCCTCCTCCTCCTCCTCCTCACCCTCCTCCTCCTCCTCCTCCTCCTCCTCCTCCTCCTCCTTCTCCTCCTCCTCCTCCTCTCGGCAGCGCAGCGTCTTCACCTTGCGCGCGCCCGCTCGCGAAGGCGGCCAGGCGTTGCCAGCTGAGGCTTTTCTTCGTTCCCCTTTGGCCTGGGTCAGGGGCTGCGACCAGGGGAACAGTGTTGGTCGCCACTGCTAGTCCTGGACCCATGGACTGGCCCTGCCAGAATCGGTGAGGTGGTCAGCTGATGCCCACCGCCAGCGCCTCAGCCGAGCTCCGTCACCGATCCTGCGGCATGGCGTGTACACACGGCGCGAGAGAGCTCTTGTCTCGGGCGGGCAGCCCTGGATCGCCTTGGGCAAGGCGCAGCTGCTGGAGAGCTTCCCGAGGCT